ATGGACAGGGATGAGGGGAGGGGGAGGTATCCATGTATTATATTGTCTTTCCGACATTTGTTTCTTCACCTGAGGACGGCTGCTTGTGTTGTGGCCGAAACGTCGTGAGAATTGTATTTTGTATGTTTTATTTTATTATTTTATTATTCCCCTTCTACGTGACTTTACCGAAAGAACCAAGAAGATGAATCTCTGCAGTCGCGAAAGCTTGAAATCGAAATTTAATGTGGAAGAGTGTTGCTAAGCCCAAGAATACTCTTTGGGTTCTGCCACAAGTGAACCAAGTGTAGAATCTAGTTATTTCCTTCTTTTTAGAGGAAAAAAAAATCCTAAATGAAACATAATTGTTTATACATTTAGTTGTGTTCTCTCATGAACGTCATGTGCGTCAATTTACACAGCATCCAAAATGCAGAGCAGAAGTAGCATATCGTCTTGTGAAATGAATGGACAGGGATGAGGGGAGGGGGAGGTATCCATGTATATTGAATTTCTTTGGCACCAGTGCATAGCCAACCGTGCTAATCTGAGGTGCAGAGGAAGGACAACAAAAAAGCATTTCGAAAAGAAAGAAGCAAGAAAGAAAGAAAGTGACAGTAGTGAGGTGAGTACTGCCATGCAAGTGGCATGAAGCACGTGGGATGTGGGAACATTCATAAGTGAAGGACAGGAAGTCTCGGAAAGAACTTTCACCGCTATACGGAGTAATCAAGGCCTCCTGCAGACAATTCTGCTTCACTTCTGATCAGTGTACGATCGTTAGGTGCATGACATTGTAACCCTCATAACCCATCAATATGCTACTGCAGTCATGGCACCAGTTTTACATCCTATCGCTGTAGAAGTCCAGGTTCTGGACGTTCTAACCCAGCACATCTCAAGTTCCCACTGTCATTCTTGTTCTGTCACTTCTTGGCTTATTGGCATCGTTTGTTTCGACAACCTTGAGTTACTCGACCCACTTTCTGACATTTATTTCCCACGTGCTGGTGTTCCCATACACAGCACACCACATTCTGCCATAAATCACAGCAGCCTCAACATTCTCCTTCACTAGATATGCGATCCTAGCTTTCCACCTGAAAAGTGTCTATTGCACCCATTTTGTTTATGGTCTGTGCTGTCTTGCCGTGCCTTAGTCTCCATGTTTCTCTCTCTCTCCCTCTCTGTGTCTCTCCAAGTCTCTGGCCATGTCTCTGTATCTGGCTCCCTCCATCTCCAGCTCTGTCTTAACGCCTCTCTATATGTGTCGCTCTTCATTCATCTTTTGATGTCACATTCCGTGTCTTTATTTTTGTTTTTGCGTATCACTCTTTCTCTTAGCATTTCTTCACGTTTATTTCCACGTACCTGTAAATGTTTGCATACAATATATAGATATATGTGTACTATATACCTTTGTGTGTGTATGTACGGACAGGGACGAATTATGGCCCAAAGCCTTGCAAAGAGCCTGCACAAAATCTCCATCCTCTCTTGGCAGTTCACTGGGGAGGTCATCTGTGCTCGATGCTTTACGCGGTTACAGGCACCCGATTGCCATTCACAGCACAGCAGAAGGGGATCTCAGTCTTGCGCTTACAGGCTGAAAGCTGCTCCTGCGACGTATGAGGATTGGCCACCCCTGCTGTCAGGTTCCCCCTTGTCCCATGGTGTTTTGGACTAAGGCTTCCCCCCCGAGACCAGACGTATGTATGTTCAACTTCTTTCGCACCGTACTTAGCCAACCATGCTAATCGGAGGTGCAGGGGAAGGGCAACAAACTAAAGACATAAGGTGAGCCCTGATGGCCCTTCTTCACAGTAGAACGGCCATTTCCAGAAATGTTTCCCATTACATACTTTCTCTTTTGAAGGCAGCATTATTGACAAATGTGTTGAGTTTTCGTGTTAATTACACACGTACACAGTTTGCTAACGAAATTGATTTGGTGCCCAAAAAAGCAAACTCTGGCCATGGCGCTGAGATCATCAAGGACGTGCTCACAGTAGAAGAAGAAGGGCCATCACTCGAAACGTCGCCTATTATGTAGTTTTACTTTTAAGGCCCACAGCATTATTGACCAATGTGTTGAGTTTTTTTTTTTACACTTGTGCACTACTGACAACGCAGCAGCATTATCACCAACTAATTAAACGCATGTACTGAATGTATATAGAAAATGTTGATTATAACGACTCGGCCTCTTCTATGTGCTATGCAGAACGGCCATTTCCGGAAATGTTTCCCATTACATACTTTCTCTTTTGAAGGCAGCGTTATTGACAAATGTGTTGAGTTTTCGTGTTAATTACACACGTACACAGTTTGCTAACGAAATTGATTTGGTGCCCAAAAAAGCAAACTCTGTCCATGGCGCTGAGATCATCAAGGACGTGCTCACGGCAGTGTCGTCATTTTAAACGATGGGCATGCTGACCTCACGCCTGTTCATTCTGGCAATTTATGAGGCGCCGAGTGGTTTCCGACAGTGAAGCCATCCTCACTTCATCTCTGAAAGCTGCTGGCCGGCCAGAACGTGTGGGTAGCACGAAACAAGGCTATTGTTGGCTGGGTCCTTTGTTCTGTTTGAAATTAAAGCCATCAAGAACCACTGCATCAGTGTGAATGCTAAGCAGATGAAAAGGAACTGAATTTCAAAGGGCACATACGAGAGGAAAGAAAACATCCCCCGAAAGAGCACAAACCTTTGAGACCTGAGAAGCTAAGCAGGTTGAGCTTGGACGGTGCTTGCGTGGGCAGCCACTGTGCATAACTGGGGTTATAGATTTCGGGGCTACATTGTGGGCAGCAAACCACAGACAAATTCATTATTCTGCTTGTGTATGCTTATATGCTCCCACATGCATCCTTCCCACCTTCACCCACCGGCACTTACCAGCATGCTTAAGTACGTGCAGTTAACCTCATTCAGCAGTCAATGAATAAAAAGAGCTGTACATAGACATATGTATAATCCATCAATGTGAAATTAATATCGCGCCATAATTCATTGCTAGCCGAGAGACGGAAGTGGAGTGGTGGTGCAGTGGTTAGCTCATTGCACAGTGAATCCAGTGACCTGTTTTTGATTCCTGGCCGTGACTGTCATCGGCAATTGATTTCTGAACCAAAGCTGGAGGCACCCACCTTCACCAACCCAAGGTATCCAGTGTGGTGAAGTATAGTTGAACAACCCCCATAACTGGCATAGTGGGCGACAAGCCCTTCATCCAGCAGTGGATTGACGAGACGCTAATAATTGTTTGTTATTTGTATTGTATGCAATTAAATTTAGATACGCGCCATACATGCGCACCAATACACCATAAACAGTGTAAAGCATCTGACAGTATCACATGAGAGCTCCCCCAAATGTATGCCTATCAAATTGGATGTTGCTCTGATATCTCACAGTTCAACCTCCACCACCAAACTAGCCTATCTACCCACAACAAACCCTCCAGGTCTGCGTGTGAGATGCAAAAGCAATAATTCGCCCACCATCCTGATTCTGCCTTAAAAATGTAAATCACAAAAATGTCACTGAACCTAGGCATGAGATCTAATTGCACCCGAATTAGACCAGCTCGGGCTGTGAAAACAATAAATCTAGCCGCCAATGCAAAACAAAAATAAAGGGAGGAAAATTATATCAAGGTGAATGGCTTTAGAAATGTATGTCATTTGCTTTGATTCACATCAAATCATTTTCACTAAATCACCTATCCGTTATGATTACTACATTGCTTCATTGGTGATAAAGTATTCCTGTGCATCAGTGCATCTGTGATGAAGTGTGTGTGCGAATATGGGGAGGGTTAGCGTAGCGGTTAGCGTGCTGCACTACGAACCCAGCGACCCGACTTCGATTCCTGCTTACGGCCAACACCAGTGAATAATATCTAAACCAGTCCTGTGCCTCCCCTAGGTCGACCCAGCCTCAAATGAGTACCTGGTGGAGTGTGTAAACATCACCACCAGGGAGAAAAAGGCGGCCGGGCATGGTGTTGGCCAGCCACGCCCTCGTGTCCCGTGTCAGCCTTCATAGTTGCTTGTCAACAGCACTTGCCACAACAGTTTGTTACAAGCTATGTAGGGGATCTTCGTCTTTGGCTTTGTCTTATCTGGATGTGGTATCGTGTGAGTGCATGTGTCAGCACGCGTGTCTGCAATAGTGTGCGTAGGTGTCAGTATTTAAAATGAAGCGTAGCTTCTGATGGTAACTCGCCATTGCAGAGTCATGTTCAAAGCATGATGTTATAAAATATATAATGAGAATGAAATAGAGGATAGTGCTCTTGTCAAAATTCTAATTTCGGACGTGGACATTGAATGGTCCATAGTCATCGCTGATAAGAAAATTGCAATGTACGGATTACATTTGAACTAATACAGGTGGGAGTAGTGTCTAGATGAGATGTCAGAGGTGACATCTTGTGAAAAATCGGGTTAATTTGTCACCCAACGTTTTGTAATCAACAAGAGACAATAATAATGATAAATAATGACTCTGCACGATGCATCTTTGCTACAGTACGTGAGCGCACTCATAAGCGTGAGTTCCTTTCCTTAATGCAAGCGAAAGTGCGCGCACGCAGCTTGTCACGCATGAGGGACGGCTCGACGACGTACAAAAACAAAATACACTTTAAAGTTTTATGCTTCGTGGAAATGTTCGTGGCATATTACATTGTGTCGTATGACAATGATACAAATAGCGTTGAATATAAATTATGAAACGTAATTGGAAGGAGCTGACCGTGATGTCAACAATGTAGAGGGCATTAGGTCGCCGCTCACTTGTTCACAAATGTATCGAATTTGCCTACTTGTTATACAAAAAATACAGGACACTGTGGGTTTCATCCCGACGCTAACGCCTCTATATTTGGAGTTTGCATCTTCTCCGTGGTCGTGTGGATTTTTCTCTAGGTCCTTTGGTTTTCCCTCCGCATTCAGAAACATGCTTTTAAGAGTACTTGGCTGCTATACATTTCCACATGTTGAGGCCACTTCATTGGGCAATCATTTGTGGCCAGGTCGCTTCTGAAAAAGAGCTATGTAGCTCAGTGGGCCTTACCTGGTAAACTAAAATAGTTTGCGCTTGGTTGGTTGGCCCCATAGGTGGAGTTTGTGGGGGGGGGGGGCACCGGGGGGCAATGCCCCACCCAAACTGGACACCTCTATTAATTTATTTTCAGTAGTTTGCAATTAAGATTAAAAATACATAAATTATATGTACCTGCCCTCCCAAATCTAGAAGTCAATTTCGGCCTATGGTTGGCCCCTAAATGTGTCATTATTCTCTTCCAAGCAATCCTCATGACAACAATGTATTTACGTACGATAGGGGGCTATAGGGTCTGTGTTTCTTCAAGTCCCCTTGCATCACCCTTGAATTCTTATAGGGGGAAGTTCTAGATGGCACACTTGAAAGAGGAAACTGCCCTTCCGAGTATGAAAAAAGGGGAACACCCCTGTACCTAATTAATGTAACTCTGGACACCATTTAATAATAAAATGGGTCCAGTGTTTAGAACAGAATGAGCGAACTTAAGGACTAGAGGTTACACGGAAATTAAATGCCACCTCACAGAACGATGCCTCAATCTGCCCATATAGCAGGCTGCTTTGCCACATCTGTGCTCACTGCCCTGACCGATAGCACACCACAGGGAGTGTTTCGGCCTCGCTGTGTGCTGCGTTGCACCACTATCTGAGTAGTTAACCTCGCATTCAATAGAATGAAGTAAAACTGATGGAAAAACACAGCACAAAATACAGCATCTGTTAATACTTGCAATATCAATGCAATGAATGAACACTGCAGCATCATAATATTGTCTTAGATAACATTAATCTCAACAATAGGTCCTGGATGGACCAGGCACCTACATTAGCACTGAATAGATATACAATAGAATAAGCTACCGTGTTTAATAAGGTCACTTTGTGTAATCACCATATATGCAGCCTAAATGTACAGTGCTGCATATAACACTGAACTGTGGATGCGATACTTCTTCATCCTTGCTCTGAAGAACGCATTAAAGTTACATAAGTCTGGCTTGACTTATCCAACTACAAATAACATTCACAATAATGCAAGTGGCAGGCTTTGTTGTTTACTAGGCCTCATATTTATCATAACAATATAACAGCATTATAAAGGCACCCGTCTTCACTGAGATCCTAATCGTGTCTCCATTTTGTCCTCTTTGTAATGATTGACACCCCTGCCTCGTGGCTTAGAGAACCTTAAATCGTAACTTTCTGGTCATGTGACCAAACTCAACACCATATCAGAAAGTTCCTGTGTAAGCACACCCCCATATCTGCCGTGGGGCAGAACAGGCAGGTTGTCCACTTCCGTACTCAGGCAGGCTTTGTTGTTTACTAGGCCTCATATTTATCATAACAATATAACAGCATTATAAAGGCAATCCTAACATTATAACATCATTCCCAGTATTATAAGAACACAAATGAACTTACAGACAATGCTTGTTAAAGTCCCACAATGAACAGATGCACCCGTCTTCACTGAGATCCTAATCGTGTCTCCATTTTGTCCTCTTTGTAATGATTGACACCCCTGCCTCGTGGCTTAGAGAACCTTAAATCGTAACTTTCTGGTCATGTGACCAAACTCAACACCATATCAGAAAGTTCCTGTGTAAGCACACCCCCATATCTGCCGTGGGGCAGAACAGGCAGGTTGTCCACTTCCATACTCACCTCGCCCAACCACCCAGCCATTTTAGTGAAGAGAACACAGCTAATATTTACATAAATAGATTTATTTTACTATACATCATCTAACGTTTGCCTTCCATAAACTATTTTTGAAAACAAAGTATTTTTTTTATCTTGCTTCTAAACTCCTACTCCGTTACCTCGCCTGGGTTCTGTGGGATGAGACACTAAGTTCGATCATGTATATACTGGACATCGGTGAAAAATAGCTTCATAGCTCACTGAATTCCTCCAGCATGAATACATATTCTGATTCTGAAGTGATGGGGGATAGGGGAAGGAGAAATTAGGCTTGTGGAGGTGGAGGAGCCTGGGGGTGGGAGGGTTTGAGCTGGAGGGGACCCTCATTAGGTTCTCAGGTGCGAGGGCTAATGGCCTGGGATACATCAGCCTAGTCCCGGTATACTCTGGAATAAAAGTAAGGGTACATTTATTTACCTACTAACTCCTCCTGTGGTAAATAGGATTCACAGACAACAGAGTTGTAGATACATATAGCTACACTATTGCATATGTTGACTGCATTTAACGCCATATAAAGATTGTTTTAATGTATATTTCATAATGTACGACCTAATTTACGTGGTATTTCCCAGGCACCAATAGGAATTTACGCATACTAGAGATTTTTTTGGGTTAGATCGCGTAAATATAAATGTGTTGTTAAGCCCACCACCACCCCACACAACCAATTAGTAAGGTTTGTCACATAAACATCATTTTATGCCTAGAATGTCGAGGTGGCTGCTTCTAGTTTAAGCCTATTAAGTCTGATGTGACACTCGAGGGAAGTGGAAACCTTGTCTTCCCCGGCACTGATGTTGACACACAATTCCACGTACTCATTTTAGGCAAAGATGACCTATGGGAGGCCATGGTCAGGTTCAGATACCAATTGGCAGCAGGCAGCAGGGCTAGACATTTCAGCAACGCCACAGGGATTGCACCTCAGTGCATACAAAATACACAGGGTACGTGGGTTGTTTAATATTGTCGTGTGTGTGTGTTTCATCTCCACACATTCGAAGGGGCAATCCAGATTGTAACAGTTTATTATTCATCTCAGATATGTGACACACTTTTTTCCAATGTGCTGAAACATGTCTGTGTCAGGCATGTCTTGTGTTGTGAAGGACAAACGTGTCTGTGTGCTTCATGCAAAAAGGTAAATAAGAGATATCCTAAAATTAAAAAAAATGTTCACGCTAAATATTAAATAACACAATTCTCAAATATGTGTTATAAGAAGAATATTATATTATGCATAACAAGGCATCCAATTTACAGCATACCATTTGTTTTAGCTAATAGCTGCTGGGGGCATAGAACAACACCTTTATATATATATGCCGTGTATATATAAAATTGAGAAATAGTGATGTATAAATGAAACTACAATTAAAAGACTAAGTGTAAATTTTTGAAATTCACGTATCACATTAATCGTTAATGCATGCTGGATGTTGATTATTGCAGTGCATAACTTTTATGCATCTTAATTGAGTTAATTCAATGGGCAATTAAGCAATTTTCCAGACTTTGGGCTTTGGGGAGCCTTATGTGCTGCCTTTCCCTGCCTACTTGACCTGCATATTTATCCTTTGAAGTTTTAAAGCCTCAAGTATGAGTGTGAATGTAAGTGTGAATGATCTATAATTACGATAACATAAGCCGAAGTAGGTACTTGTGTGCATAGGATGACATACGTATGTACGTGTGTTTAATTTCTCTCGCACCGTACGTAGCCAACCGTGCTAATCGGAGGTGCGGGAAAAGGACAACAAATTGAACACAATAAGCTTAAAACTGTAGCGTTCAATTTACATTTACAAGTGCATAGCTCCAGTGGCTTCCTAATATCAGACGGAAGAGCGTTCCAGACGGCCGTAGAAGCACATCTGAAAGAGCGTGATGGAGTAACCGTGTTTGTTCGATGGTGAGCCAAAAGCCTCTGCTGCGAGGATGGCTGGAGTTTACGTGATGAGCTGAGACGTGCTTGGCACATGCTACTCCGCAGCTCATTTTTTATTTTGCCTAAAAGGGAAAATGTCCGCTCACCCTGGCAGTTTGTCACGGCAAAGTTAGAAAAATTCGAAGTGCCACAAAAACATTGGGGAACACTGACTACAGATTAAGTGCCTGCAAGGTCTCAAGCAATTTAGTTGGGCACTTCTCACCCTCAGAGTCAGACATGAAAGACTTCAATTGGATGAGTTCCTTGGCAAAGTTCATGTCCAGGTCTGATGGATATGCAGCGCAGAGTGCATTTACCTTTTTCACTATGACATCACTGTTTAGACACCTAATCTGACTAAACAGAACTTCAAAGAAACTGGTCAAATGCTTGTAAGCATCCAAGAGATGTTCAAGGCATGCCACTAGCTTATTAATGACCACATAAAACGTTTCTATTTTGAACTTCTCCCTCCCCTCAAGTGTCACACCTGGCTCTCAGCTCTCATCTGCAAATGTTTTGCATTTCCTCTTTCGCTGAAGATCGTGCTTATATGACTGAGAGACACCTGTCACATTTAAGGCTGCTTTTTCAAAAGCCTCAAACTGGTCTCGCTGTCCCGCCACAAAATCCCTCAACGAAGACAAAACCTGTGCTGCTACAGAGATGTCAATGTCACTTTTCTGTAGGTGCATGCTTGTAGCGTGAAACCGGTCAAGTATGACGTCCCAGCAATGTGCCATGAACACCATCTCTAAGGTGTACAATTTGAGACATAGTCCAGCGGCCTCAATAAGAGTATCTCTTTTCTCATTATCATCATTGCACATACCACCAAAGGCCTCTCTAATGTGGGTGTAATTTCTCCACAGTGCCTTGGTTGACTCTGCACGAGCACTCTACTGAGTACTGGACAGCGATTTTAATGTCAGTCTGACATCTATCTCCTGAAATACTTTCCCCCTTCTGTGTATGGATGAAGAGCAAAATGTGTACAGTGACTGCAACATGTTAAAAGACTCGTCAGCCTTTGGGCTACTGCCGTCTAAGCTGTTAACACAAACTAAGTTAAGTGAATGCGCTGCGCAAAGCATATACTCACTCAGAGTTTTTTTTTGTTTCAGGTGAGCTTGTAGCCCATTGTATTTTCCTGACATGTTGCTTGTATTGTCATAGGACTGACCTCTACAGTTTGAGAGGTCCAACCCAAGGTCCTCCACCATCAAAGTCACACAGTCTGCTAAACTTTTACCAATGTGCCTCTCAATTGGCTCAAAGCCCAGGAATCACTCCACCACATTTCTGCTGCTGTTAACAAACCGGAATGTGAACGTCAATAAGTCCAGGTGTGACAGATCTGAGGTGGAGTCAACAATTATTGAGAATTATTTGGCATCTCGAATCTCATCTGCTATTGTTTGGTGAGTTTTCTGACCCATGAGCTCAATGAGTTATTTACATATTGTCGATGACAAATAGAACACTATGCCTCTTCTTTTTCCTCCAAACTTTTTAAAATATTTAGCTAAGAATGGGTCAAATTGTGATAGCAATTCTAGGATTCAAAGGAAATAACTATCATGGGTTGACCCAAACCGTTCATCATCTCCCCTAAACACCAAGTCCCCTTTCACCCAAGAACTTGATCACTGCTACAACTCTTTTCAAAATGTCCCTCCAGTATTTAGTTTCCCATCAAGTAGCTGCATGAGATCTGCATCTATAGCACTGTTCTTTGTCCGTTGGTGCAAGGCAAGCACGCATGATCTGTGTTCTGCACTCTTTTCGTGTTCCCATATTCTTTCAGAGTGTCTAGTCACTAAACCCCTGACTAAAGCCACCGAGCTTGCTGGAGAACAATTTGCATGCAAAACAGTACACATAACCTGTTGAAGGTGAGTACAGTAGCCACTGTCTAGAAACATTCTGCCCATTTGGCAAATATACAGTTCTGAAGTTCATTGTTGAAACCTCTAGTCTTTCCACCAAGCGCTCTATCTCGGACTGAAGCTGGGTATTTTTCACTGTGGTTTTGGAAGGGGACTGCTCCTCTTTCAATAAGCACTGACTTAACAATGTCACTGGAAGTGCTTTGCCATAATGCAGGGTCAGTGACCTCATAGCTCCAGGAATGGCTTGGTTGCTGATTTGATTCTTGTGAACTGCCCAACTGCTCCTGAGGTGGAAATGATGGTTCTTGTATACCATTAGCTGTTGAGGGTTCGCCTACAAAGGATGGCTCTGGGGAAGTGAGAACATTACTCTTTGGTTATATTGTTATTTTATTTTCACCTACGTGACTTTACCCAATAGAACCAAAGAGTATGGATCCTAGCAGTCACGAAAGCTTTAAATCTAGAATTAAATCTAGGAGTGAGAACATTACTGGAAACTGAACTAGTGTTAGTTCCTTCCTCACAAATGACAATAGTGCTGCTGTCATCATTATTACTATCAGAGGGTTTTTGAAAGAAGTTGGCAATGAGTGGAACACTTTGAAGCAAAAGTGCCTCTTTTGCCTCCTTTTCTCTTTTGGCTTTCCTTTTGGAAGCACCACTATTCCAAAGTTTGTGGTCCATGTTTTAGAACTAGTATGCTATTTATATAAATATATTTATAGCATATCTCAATAATTATTGCATTAATATATTAATAATGACAACACCATTCAAGTACTGTTGTTGGAAAATACAATCAAGTGGTAGTCTTTTATAGTCTACTTGTACCTAAAGGCAGCTTTGAGTAGATAAAGGAAAAAAATAGATAAGCACATACAATAAAATAACCCTAACCTTTTCAAAAGGCTGTTATAAAATAGCCCTTAGGAGGGATTGTTGAAATAGCCTTTATTTTTTCTATCTACGTGGCTTTACCAAAAGACACAAAGAATATTTTAAAAGGCTGTTGTTTTATAAAAAGATTAAAAAGTATCTATATAACTGTGGCGTACCAAGCAAGAAAACAGGAATCTGTGGCTTTTCCTATCAAGAAATGTATTATATACCTGCCTGACACAGAGATAATTATGTTGCTTGAAATTCAAAGATAACTTTTTTCTTGGCCGAACAACCAACAAAGGTTTCTGATAAGTCAGTGAAATTACTTGGTGGAGACTATGCACATAGGCCACACGCCATCGATGGGGAGGGTAAAAAAGACCTCGTAAGATCTATTGACAATTTGCATGTCAACGTTAGCATTATATACTTATGTGGATCTAAAAACAGACGTTCTATTGAAAAAAATTAATGAGGTTTTCCTTAATCTTTAAGTATGGGTTGGGTCTCTTATATATGCGTTAGTGTATGAAAAAATATAGCTTTTGGCATATTTTTTTAATGTTTCACAAAACCGCAGTGTATTTATAATCATTTATTTGTCAACGACTAACTCAGCTCTCAACAAACGACGAGCCCTCCATCTCACTAGCTGACTTTTTAGTGCAGCTAATTTGGTTGTAAGGGCAGCTAGTTGGCAAAAATGGCAGCTAGCTAACTAATTTGTTAACAAGCTGAATCATATGGGCAGCTAGCTAGGGAAAATGTGCATCTAGCTAAAATAAATGGATAGCAAGTTACGGTAAGTCAAATAACGAACGGCTTGCCCTAATATGACGCCCTTCAAACTGTCCTGTTATGCACAATGAACTGACTTGTTGGTGAATATTGTATCATGTCACAGCATATTGTAGCGTGCCAGCTAGTGACTCAGTTGTATAGAAGCACTTTACTCTACGAGAGGCTCTCGTGTACAGTGAGGGAAAAAAAGTATTTGATCCCCTGCTGATTTTGTACGTTTGCCCACTAAAGGGAGTGCTCCTAATCTCAGCTTGTTACCTGTACAAAAGACACGTGTCCACAGAAGCAATCAATCAATCAGATTCCAAACTTTCCACCATAGCCAAGACCAAAGAGCTCTCCAAGGATGTCAGGGACAAGATTGTAGACCTACACAAGGCTGGAATGGGCTACAAGGCCATTGCCAGGCAGCTTGGGGAGAAGGTGACAACAGTTAGTGCGATTATTCGCAAATGGAAGAAACACAAAAGAACTGTCAATCTCCCTCGGCCTGGGGCTCCGTGCAAGATCTCACCTCGTGGAGTTGCAATGATCATGAGAACGGTGAGGAATCAGCCCATAACTACACGGGAAGATCTTGTCAATGATATCAAGGCAGCTGGGACCATAGTCACAAAGAAACAATTGGTAACACACTATGCCGTGAAGTACTGAA